TGCTCCTTTCCTATTACTGGGCAAATGTGGTATTATCTTAACTGCTGGCACAAGAAACCCTTACTTCCTTACTTTGACTTCTGCAGAGCTGGAGCCAGAGCATATTCAGTGTAAAGCACTAGCCTCTTAATTGTGGTAACACAGGTATCTGCTAAGTCTGTGTTGAAGGGACAGAGGGAGTCATAAATGCTGAGGAGGTAAGGGAGGACACTGTTTAGATTTGAAATGTTCATTCTCACAATTAGTTGTAGTCAATGAATGTTGCAGTAATAGCTCCACTTACGGTATGAGTAGAGGGCCGTTGTCTCCCAAACAAACTGGCCTTTCTTGAGCAGTATTCTCTTCTCTTTGTCAGCAGACTCACGAGAGAGAGGGTGCTCTTTGTTAAAGAGCTCCCTGCTTCTGTCCCCTTCAGCATTTTATATCCTTGATTTACCACTAGTCCTTTTTTAGTCGCAGCCTCAGGTGGCTTTGAACTTGCTGTGCTGTCCTGTAGTCTTGGAATGGAACTGGGGAACTCTGCCCTAGAGTCAAACAGCAGAGAGCTGGTGCTTGCACAACATCCATATGAAGATCTGAGCCAGTGCAATAAGATGAAACTGCAAAAAATGTCACCGGTACACAGGATCACAGAACAATTGGGGTAGGAAGGGACCTCTGGAGATCATCTGGTCCAACCCCCTGCTCAAGCAGGGTCAGCTACAGCAGGTTGCCCAGGACCACGTCCAGTCAAGTGTTGAATATTTTTCCAAGGACGGAGATTCGACAGCCTCTCTGGACACCCTGTTCTAGTGCTCAGTCACCCTCACAGTGAAGAAGCGTTTCCTTGTGTTCACGTGGAATTTCCTGTGCTTCTGTATGTGCCCATTGCCTCTCATCCTGTCACTGGGCACTGCTGAGAAGAATCTGGCCCTGCCTTCTTTACGTCCCCTCTTCAGATATTTTTAAGTGTTGATAAGGTCCCCCTTGAACCTTGTCTTCTGCAGGCTAAGTACATGGCAGGAACCAGCTTTAGATCTCTCTTAAATGAAGCTTAAACAGTATCATCTCCAGTGTTTTCTGTGCCTGTGTGATTGGAGGGGGGAGGAAGAGCACTGCTTACCAATGGACCCAAGGCGCAAGTGAGAAGTCGTTTTTATAACGTTCCATGCCACAGTTTACTACTTTACTTGCGTGTGTGCGCAGAGCTTGAGGCCTTTTTTGACTTGCTGGGGCTGTGGAAGTACTTAAGCATCAGTGGCAACGAGGTGGCCAGGTGACTGAAAAGGAAGACTGCATCCCTCTTAGAAGATGCAGAGAGCTAGCCACAGTAATCCACGTGTCTGTAATCTCCAGGTTTGGTGATCAGAACATCTATCTAGAGCAAATCTGTCACTCAATTTTTTGACTTAAAATCTTCTGGAATTTCTTATTATCTGCCATGGTGTCCATCACCGTTATTGGAAAACCAATACCTATTGGAAAGTTCAAGAAAAGTAGAGAAGGTTTTCGTTTTCCCCTGAAGTCTACTTCTTGGACTAATGCTATATAGCATAGTTTCAGTAAGTGAGGGGGAAGGTCGTTAGCTTCAGAGGCAAACAGAAAGAGTTGAGCAGTTGGGATGGTTGCATAGATGCTTCTTCAGGGAAATTTCCTGTGCAGTCTCCTTTAAAATAATTTTTAGATCTGAGACACAACGCCAACATGCACGTTTCTTAAGCCTGTGGCAACTTTATAGCAAAGTCCATTTCTTCATTTTTTTTGAGCTTCATCTAATTGGTCCTCGCTCCTATGGGTGGCATGCGGCACTTTAGCTGCAAGATACTATATTACCATATGATCGGTATTGTGTGTGAAGAATTTTCTTGCTGGACTGAAAAACAGCCTATGCGTTATAGTAATGAAGTCACTAGGTTAATCATGATGAATGCTGTTGGCATCTTGCTTGAAAAATTAAAAGCAGGTAAGAGTTTTTCCTAGCCTGAGCTACTGTTGTGCACCTTTAGAAATAGTTACTTGAATGGAATTTAAATGGAGCTGATCTTCATACCTCTCCAAAAATCAAGAAAAAGGGTATTCCACAAAGCTAGAACTGTAGAGGAGAAGAGGGAGAAGAATGATGCAGGGAAGCAGAAGGATGTAGGACAGGCTGCAAGAACACAGTATGGCTTTAGGGTGCAGAGTGCCTTTTGTTAAGTGCTAGATGCAAAGTAAGGCATCTCCCAGTCTAGATGCAGATCTCTTCAGAGGTCTTGAAGGACATACATCTCAGTAGTACTCATTCTTGCTACTTGTCAAGCCCTGATATTCAGGGTCAAATGCTGTACTGGAATATGCTGACATTTTCTTGAATATCTGGAAAGCCACAGAGCACTCAAAATATTTTTTCTGAAGTCGAATACCCATGGAAATCCCATGGTAGTGACAAACAACCCTACATGCTATAGGGAACTTAGAGGACTTTCATATTATGTGTGGCATCGCATCAGATGAGAATGACTGATTCCCAGTAAATCTATGCTTTGGGCCGATAATAAGTAAGAAGCCAGCAACATAAATTATTCAGATTACCAAATGTCCCTTCCAGCTTTGGAGCTCAGAGTGGAAGGAAGCATTGTAACAGCTGTGTTACAGATTTTGGAGGCATGCGCTTGTTAGCTGTCCAGCACATCAGTCTGTAATAGTCTCTTTTGATATGGGGAGCAAGCATATCCTAAATTACTACATCCTACTAGGATACATACCCCTACCGGTAGTAGACCTTTCAGTACGCTGGCTTGTACTACCTTATGAAAAAGGTGTTACAACGAATAGAAAAAAGGAGAAGTGTGCTTGGGAGAGATGATGTGTGTTTTGGATACTAAGGAGAAAAAACTGACAGGAACACTGGAGTTGACTGTTTTGCAACTTCAGTATACAGTGAGGAACTGGGTCTTGACATCAGTGTTGAATTGCAGGCAGTGACAGAACTGGGCAAAAGGCATGAAAAGGAGAGGGAAAGCTCCCTTGCTAGCTGTGTAAAAGTGTAGCTAGTATCATCATTCTCTGACCTCAAATCAGGGAAGGATCAATCAGAACAGAAGAATATAGGCAATTGTCCTGCAAAAATCCTAGTACTGACAATTTAACAGTTTCCTTTGAGAGAATTTTTAATTAGCCCTGAATTTGTTTGCCTATCGTCTTCTGAATGCAGCTGGTTTCCCACTTGAAGTTTAATCTCTGAATGTTAGTTTTAAGCCCATCATAGAGCCATTTAAACCTATGATAGGCTTAAGCTAACAAGTATCTTGATACAGTGAGAAGGAGAGAAAGCATATACATTTCTTTATTGTCAGTCTTTTCTGTGAAGTATTTTCATTTTCTAAAATGAGTGCATGAAAGTGAGATTTGATTTCATGGAATTGTAATGGTAGTTTTAAAATAAACGTGGAGAAAATAAGGTCACATGAACCACATTTCTCAGGTTTTTTTTTTTTCATGGGCCTTTTCTTGTATTCCAAATTGATTTGTATTCCAAAGCTATACGTTGTCACTGGGGCAGAAGGAAGCAGAGTAACAGAATTGGAAAGTGTCTGGGATGCAACAAATTAGATCTCACAAACCAGCTTTAGCCTTTTGTTGAAGAAGAGCCTTTCGTTAAATATGCACGTAGATTTTGTAGGTCTCTGTAATAATTTAGATCTATGCTACTGCATCTGTATTTGCTACCTTCTTTGTGTCCTCTCCCATGTCAACACTCTCTTGGCAGGGGTCACCCCTTCCTGGCTGTCCACCACACCCTCTTTTCATGCAAGTCCATCTTTTAAGTACACTTCTTCCGAACTGCCTGTAGACTCTAGCCTTCCCTTTGAGTTCTGTCAACAAAGAAGGATATGGAGAGGAGAGAAAAACA